AGGTGCGTTCCTCTAAGTCTTCCTACCAATATGACCGAGTTGTGAAAACAAGGTCAAACAACTTCTATACTATTTTCATGTCCATGCATTCGCAATCAGCAGGCCATCGAGATTATCAGTAGAGAATAAGAATTTTAGTCACCCTAGATTGTATGTGACAACAATGATAGTGAATTTAGCCACAATTATGTGAGTAGGCCATACTATGCCATTGAACTTAGCTTCGCTTCTCAAGATATATAAAAAAAGGGAGACTTATATTTCCTTGAAAGCCACATTTGCCATGTGACCCACTTGTATCCATCACAGTGTGGCGCAGCGGTATAATATTGAAAATAAATGCTGCCCCATTTGGGTTCGATTCCAATTTTGGGTGGTGATGATATCCGGTAAAGATCAAAATAGTAATTTACCCTGAATGAGAGTATGTTTCGGCAGGTAAAGCCAAGTGTAATTCAGTGGTATTGTGAGACCTACTCATATTATTGGAAAATTCCCTACCAATTATTCATCACCTTATGCGAACTAGGATTACTAAGGTTACTATAGAAATAAGCACAATTAGAATCTTTTGGCTAGATGTGCTTATTTCAAAAAGCATATCATGAACTAATATTAAGAAGAAATGGGCTAAAAATAGACAGACACGATCATTGTGTTAATAACGTCTTCGGATTCTCCTCATGGCAGATGAGTGGAGAGCAAATTATAAGGAGAATCTAACTTAAGCTAGATGGATAACGTTGACAAAAAACACACACAAATCATAACTCTGGGTCGGAAGTCTTAGTTCCATCTTGCCATTTTTGGAAACGGCAGTGGTCATACATACATTTGTTGAGATTATCAGATACATGGAGCTCAGCTCACTTGAATACTAGACACAATACGATCTTCTGGAAATTGTTGGATGATCCAGCCGTTCAACACTTCTAGAAGCCTGAGCGCTGGTTGGTGCTGTTGCTGATGTACCTGATGATGAGGCAGTTGGTGGGTTCGGTTGAGTGAAAACTGAAGATTGTGCTGATGAATCGAATGAGAATTTGGCTGATTAAGGAAATCTGAAGGCTGAATAAGAGGAAAGGAAATAAATCAAATAAAAAACTATATATACATATATATAATAGGCAGCAAGTTTGTTTAGAAGTTATCAATGGGCTAAATATTTTTGAGATAAATTAATTTCCACTAATTTTTTGATGGGCTGAAGGCGAGTCAGCCCAAGATGAATTAAATATTATGCTTGAATTATACATTTTTATTCAATCAGAAATCCCATTCTCATCTTAAATGGACAGCATTTTCGACCTCGCCTATATCAAATTAGCATTCTTGGCGGGATTCGAATAATAAAATTGCGAGTGTGAATATTAAGTTTGCCATGGGCGCCTTAAAAAATAAATAAGGAAACAAGAAATAAAATATATAAAGAGATATGAAATGACCAAGAATACAATAGCGAAGGCACAATTAAGAGGATCGAATAGGTTGAATGAATAACAAGGGTCATTGCTTCAACATTTGGAACAGAGCATACTATTTATGATGGAGAGATTTAGAGACTTAAAAATGGGAGCCCCAGTATTCTATTGGTTTATATGTTTAATTGTTGAACTCACTTTCATTTAGAGTAAAAATGTTTGGTGAAGAGATTCGAAGATAGATCCCACCATAAGATAACAGCGATTTTCTTTATTGGAACGTTCTTGTTAAAGCTGTTGCCGAGGTAGGCTCCTTTGATAACGATCAAAACGTGCTAAACTTTCGTAAGTCATAAAATTGAAATCACTAGAGCAGGATATCATCCTTACAACCATATTCAAGCTAATGAGTCAAGAAGACAAACTAATTCATCCCTAAATGCCATATATATATATACCCTATATCTGAGCTCTTTGATGAGGTATAAAGAGATTTGATAATTCAAGTCATATTTCAGCCTCGAAGCATGCAAATGAATCTGTGTATGTTTACGTGCCTTCATGTGTTCGTATATGTACAAAACCAGGAGTGATCAGAAAAGTGGGTCTGCTCTCAGCCATCCGTTTTTTCTACATACCTTAAATCTACCAACAATAACTACTCTACCATTTGCATCAACCCTTAAAACAAACAGATCAGATTAACACGTAGGCACCGGAATTGAAGAAGACTGCCTCGAAAACAGCGTCAATAAGAATATTTCCATAATGCTAATCGAGAGATGGTCCAGAGGAATCCAAGGGGCGTTCTGGTGGGATTGACATTCGAATCTAGTCACCAAACAGTATCATCCTAAATTAATATAAGCTCAACAAGTTTGAAACAGGAGAGTCATCGAAACACAATTCTTCTTCGCACTTATGATTAATGACGAATGAATCAATTAACTAGATCTTAAAACGAGCATCCTCCATAAAATTTGCATTGTTCTTAAATACTCATGATATTACGCTGTGAGCTAAATAAGAAGCAGAATCATAAAAGCTAAATAAAGCATAGTATATAAATATACGCATTTAAAAGGTATAAAACAGAGCCGGATCGATGCAGTGAAAGGATGGCTAAAATAGTACGCCAAAGTTTGCAGCTTAGCAAAGAAACTTAAATTGCTAACCTTGGTCTGAAATAAAGGCCTAATAGCCACCTAATCCAGTAGGATAATTTTTAAAAATACCCCCCCCAGATTCTAATATATCTAAGGTATTTATAAGTTGAGATAAGAAGACAATCATAGCTGTGAGACTGAAACGTTTAATTCAAGTAGTCCATATCTAAGGAACAATTTATCCAAATTATAAAGCCTATAATTAAATAATCAGAGAAAATGTGCAATAAAAATTGTCTAAATAATAAGAAAATGCGGA